TAGAAACAATCAATAACTTCATTCAAGAAAATAAGAATAATGAGACAACATACCAAAATTTATGGGATGCAGCCCAAGCAGTTCCTAGGGGAAGTTTTCTATCTCTAAATGCTTACATGAATAAAATAGACAAAGAGGAGATCAATGAATTGGGCATACAACTAAAAAAACTAGAAAAAGAACAAATTAAAAATCCCCAATTAAATACCAAATTAGAAATACTGAAAACCAAAGCAGAGATTAATAAAATTGAAATTAAGAAAACTATGGAACTAATAAATAAAACGAAGAGCTGGTTTTATGAAAAAACCAATAAAATAAACTTTTAGTTAATTTAATTAAAAAAAAGAAAACCAAATTACCAGTATCAAAAATCAAAAGAGTGAATCTACCGTACCAATGAAGAGGAAATTAAAACAATAATTAGGAACTATCTTGCCCAAATGTATGCCAATAAATTTGACAATCTTAGTGAAATGGATGAATATTTATAAAAATATAAATTCCCAGATCAACAGAAGAGGAAGTAAAATACTTAAATGACCCCATCTCATAAAAAGAAATTGAATAAGCCATTGATGAACTCCCTAGGAAAAATTCTCCAGGGCCAGATGGATTTACAAGCAAATTCTATCAAACATTTAAAGAACAATTAATTCCAATACTAAATAGAATATTTGGGAAAATAGAGGAAGGAGTGTTACCAAATTCTTTTTATGATACTAATATGGTGCTGATACCTAAACCAGGAAGTCATAACAGAGAAAGAAAACTATAGACCAATTTCCCTAATGAATATAGATTCAAAGATTTTAAATAAAATATGAGCAATTAGATTACAGCAACTTATCACAAGAATAATACACTATGACTAGGTAGGATCTATACCAGGAATGCAGGGCTGGTTCAATATTATGAAAACTATCAGCATAATTGATCAGCATAACAAAACTAACAGAAATCACATGATCATCTCAATAGATGCTGAAAAAGCTTTTGACAAAATACAACACCCATTTCTATTAAAAACTCTAGAAAGCATAGGAATAAACGGAGTCTTCCTTAAAATAATAAGCAGCATCTACCTAAAACCTTCAGCAAGGATCATATGTAATGGGGGTAAGCTAGAAGCATTTCTAATAAGATCAGGGGTGAAACAAGGATGTCCATTATCACCACTGTTGTTCAATATGGTACTGGAAACATTAGCTTTAGCAATAAGAGAAGAAAAAGAAATTGAAGGTATTAGAATGGGCAAAGAAGAAACAAAGCTATCGCTCTTTGCAGATGATATACTTACAGAATCCTAGAGAATCAAGTAAAGAACTACTTGAAATAATAAACAACTTTAGCAAAGTTGCAGGCTATGAAATAAACCCACATAAATCATAGGCATTGGTATATATTACCAACAAAGCCCAACAGCAAAAGATAGAAAGAGAAATTCCATTTAAAGTTACTGTAGACACTATAAAATATTTAGGCATCTATCTACTGAAACAAACCCAGGAACTCTATGAACACAATTATAAAACCCTTTCCACACAAATAAAATCAGATCTAAATAACTGAAAAACATCAGTTGCTCATGGGTAGGCTGAGCTAATATAATAAAAATGACAATTCTACCTAAGCTAATTTACTTATTCAGTGCCATACCAATCAAACTACCAAAAATTATTTTATAGAGCTAGAAAAAATGATAACAAGATTCACTTGGAATAACAAAAGGTCCAGAATGTCAAGGGAACTAATGAAAAGAATGGCCTAGCCATTCCAGATCTTAAATTGTATTATAAAGCAACAATCATCAAAACTACTTGGTGCTGGCTAAGAAATTAGCCAGTGGTGGATCAGTAGAATAGGTTAGGTATGCAAAACACAATAGTTAATGACTATAGTAATCTACTATTTGATAAATCTAAAGACCCCAGCTTCTGGGATAAGAACTCATTATCTGACAAAAACTTTTGGGACAAATCGAAAAGAGCATGGCAGAAACTAGGCATAGACCAAAATCTCACACTATATACCAAAATAAAGTCAAAATGGGTTCATGATTTAGATATAAAGGCTGATATTATAAACAAATTGGGAGAGCAAGGAATAGTTTACCTGTCAGATTTATGGAGAACAGAAGAATTCATGACCAAACAGGAGATAGAGAACATTATGAAATGCAAAATGAATAATTTTGATTACATTAAATTGAAAAGATTTTGCACAAACAAACCCAATGCAACCAAGATTAGGAGGGAAGCAGAAAACTGGAAAAGAATTTTTACAACCAGTGTCTCTGATAACGGCCTCATTTCTAAAATACGTAGAGAATTAAGTCAAATTTATAAGAATACAAGTGATTCCCCAATTGATAACTGGTTAAAGGATATGAACAGGCAGTTCTCAGATGAAGAAATTAAAGTTATCTATAGTCACATGAAAAAATGTTCTAAGTCACTATTGACTAGAGAAATGCAAATCAAAACAACTTTGAGGTACCACATTACACCTATCAGATTGGCTAACATGACAAAACAGGAAAATGGTAAATGTTGGAGAAGATGTGGGAAAACTGGAACACTAATGCACTGTTGGGGGAGCTGTGAAATGATCCATTTTGGAGAACAATTTGGAACTATGACTATAGGGCTATAAAAATGTGCATACCCTTTGACCCAGCAATAGCACTTCTATTCCCAAAGATATCATACAAATGGGAAAAGGACCCACATATACAAAAATATTTATAGCAGCTCTTTTTGTGGTGGCAAAGAATTGGAAATTGAGGGGATGCCCATCAATTGGGGAATGGCTGAACAAGTTATGGTATATGAATATAATGGAATACTATTGTGCTATTAGAAATGATTAGCAGGTGGACTTCAGAAAAACCTGGAAAGACTTGCATGAATTGATGCTTAGTGAAGTAAGCAGAACCAGGAGAATGTTGTACACAATAACAGCCACTTTGGGGATGACTAACTTTCATAGACTTGGCCCTTCTCAGCAATGCAAGGATCTAAGACATCTCCAAAAATCTCATGATGGAAAATTCTATCCACATCCAAAGAAAGTACTATGGAGTTTGAAAGCAGATTGAAGCATATATGTTTTGTTTCCTCTTTCTTGTGGTTCCTTCTATTGGTTCTAACTCTTCCTTACAACACCACTAATGTGAAAATACGTTTAATATGAATTTACACCTAGAGCCTATATCAGATTGCATGCCATCTTGGGGAGGGAGGTGGAGAAGGAGTGGGAGAAAAATTTACAACTCAAAAGCTTATGGAAGTGATTGTTGATAAATCAAAATAAATCAATAAAAAAAAATTAAGCTCTAAGTCAATGTAAAAAGCAAGGCTAATTAGTAGTCCTAAAATGAATTTGATGTCATAGGTAACATCAAGATTTGATGTGATAACCAAATTATGGCTCTTGAAGGGTTTACACTATACAAAAGGAGTAAGAAGCAAAAGGGAAGGGACAAAGTGGTATTATACAGGGTGCTACAAAAGTCTTAGTGCTATTTTAAGTTACTGAAGTTTATTAAAAGCTTAAAAGAGAACCAAGCATTCCCACGTATCTGTGTATAATAAGATATATTCATGTAAGGAAATCCAAGAACTAGAGGAAGGAAGGATGTGTAGAACTTCTGCATGAAGATCAGCAGAGGCAGAAACAAGTGATATAACAACAGACCACCTGGACAGGAGGAAATGACTGAGTTCAGGAAACAATCAATCAATTAATTAAGCTTATTGCTTAGATACAGGAAGTTATCATTTGTGGCAATTTAAATGTTAAAAGTATTGCATAGTAAAATTAAGAAACTGACAGTTATCTAAATTCTTTCAAAGATACTAACTACAACAGTGGTGTGTCCTTGTCCTTTAGATATCATGATAGAGAACAGTACTAAAAATGACTTAAAGAAAAGTCAGATTTTAGTAAGGGAAAGGAAAATTTTTATGAATGCAAAAGCAAGGTCATTGCTGATGTAACAAACAGTAACAGGTGACCTTGCGGCAGATACACTTTGTTCTAGTAACAAATACAATAATGTTGTTCAGACAAAATTCAAAGTGGGGTCTTAGATGATGGTACAAAAGTGTTGATGCTTCCTAGATTGTTCTTTCCTTGCACTTGAAGAAGTGGATTGTTGTAATACTTTTACTTGCCAGAATTGGAATCATAGGAGTAGTTTTCCAACACGAAAAGGAACATGGTGTCATCTCTAAGATAATAAGTACTTCACGGATCTAGAGACATTCTAATGGATGACTTGGAAGGGCAACAGATGAGAACATTGATACTTCCAAGATTCTCATAAGAGACAAGCATCCACCTGTAGATAGGGGAACAGAAATTGTGTTGGCTGAACAGGTCACAGCTTAGAGTGACTGATCCTGGAACTTGCATAGTCTGCTATTAAGCAACTTGGTGAAGCAAGTCTATGAACGTTGGCAGAAAATTCTAGAGGTAAAAGGTCAATGAAGCAATATATAAAACTTCACATAGTAGATCTAGAAAATAAAAATGCTGTATTAGATATTGAGATGAAAGTTGTTGCAGTAAAGGGGATATTAGAATCTGGTTGTTTGCATATGTACACAGTTTGGAAAACATTGGACAAGTAAGCTCAGAATTAATTCAACAAACATTTAATAAGCACCTACTATGTATGAGGCACTGTGTTAGGATATGGAGATATAAAGACAAGAACAATCCCTGCCCTCAAAGAGCTTCCATGCTATTAGGGAACAATGGCAGGACAGGCAAGCAAATGCAAAATACATACAAGTAATTAAAAGTAATTTCAGGAAAGAGAAAGAACAACTGAAATGGGAAAATGGCCTCATGTAGGCCAAAGAGTTGTAGACATGACTAAAAGTGACCTTAGAGGCTACCAACCCTAACTCCTTCATTATACAGATGAAGAAACTGAGGACCAGAGAGTAAGCTGACAAGTTCACAGAAATAATAAGGGCCACCAAATAGGATTATGTAGTGAAGAATTTGTAATAGAATTTGTCCCATATACATAACTTATAAACTTTCATCTTGTGATAATGGCAAAAGAACCATGATCAACTTTCACAAAAATATCAGAGAACATACCTAGTAGTATATACTACCTTAAGCACTCTGATCCAAACTGATATAGATTTGTATGTTATATATTTGGATACCATGACAAAACCAGGCATATAGGTTCTTTTACCAAGTGAAATTTTAATATTAATCTTTAACATGGCAAGGAAGCAAACTACAGAACAGCAAACATTCACTCTAAATAACTAGCTCTGATTCCTCTACGTCTTAACTTTAGTGTTTAGAAGCATGTTCCTCCTCATTCTTTGGTGCAGTTAGGAAATATTCCACTCCGACAGCTAATAAAAATGCTCCAAAACCCCATTTGAATCCTCTTGTCAAAGCAGCCCACAAAGTAACAGGTTTTCCATAATGACCCATGTATCGCCAAGCTTCATTGCTAGGGGTAAAAAGAAAAAATCAGAAAAAAAAGTCTTAGTCACAATTACCTGGTTGTAAAAATTTCATATTTAATCCCTAACTTTCAGGTAGACATATGCAGAGGACTGAATAACAATCTATTAGCCATTTTTCTATGGAATAAGATAGATTGGTCTATTTATGCCTGAACTTAACATGTAAAATAATCTATGAATGAACACTCATTATTTCATAGTAGTTTTGTTATTTTAGATTTTACTAAGGTAAGAGTTATTCAACCTGATTTTTCTTCTATGTTCATATGTAGTAAGTATGCTATTATAAGAGTATTTAATAAAATCCTGGGTGTCTGGGATGGATCCAGCCAAGCATAAGACTACAATCACTTAATTGTGATTACAGCTGTTTTCAGAGGGAGCAGCATATACGGAGCAGTATAAAATCATTGTTTCTTGTTCGGGCATTTTTCCTTCTGGCTACTTTTAAAACAGAAGGATGAATTGAGCCAATAGCACTTTAGGAAAGGATACCTGTTCGCTTTTTTTGTGGTGGCAAAGAATTGGAAATTTAGGGGATGTTTATCATTGGGGAATGGCTGAACAAGTTGTGGTATATGATATGGAATACTATTTCTGCTATAAGAAATGATGAGCAGTCTGATTTCAGAAAAACCAGAAAGGTTTTTTCTGAAATCAGCCTACTTGTCATTTCTTATGACTACAAAGACTTATGTGAACAGATGCAAAATGAAGTGAGCAGAACCAGGAGAACTACACTCTATACAGTAACAGCAATATTGTACGATTATCAACTCTGAATGACTTAGCTGTTCTCAGCAATGTAATGATCCAAAATAGTTCCAAATGATTCATGATGTTTTAAATGCTGTCCACATCCAGAGAAAGAACTGGAGTCTGAATGCAGATTGAAGCATACTCTACTCACTTTATTTTTTTTTTCATATTTTTTTCTTTTGTCTGTTTCTTTTTCCCACAATAAGACTAATATGCAAATATGCTTTTACAAGATTGCACATATATAACCTATATGAAATCGCTTACCATCTTTAGATAAGGGAGGTAGGGAGAAAATTTGGAATTCAAAATTTAATAAAAATAAATGTTTTTTGTTTTGGTTTTTGTTTTGGTTTTTGGCTGGGCAATGGGGTTAAGTGACTTGCCCAGGGTCACATAGCTAGTAAGTGGTATGTGTCTGAGGCTGGATTTGAACTCAGGTCCTCCTGAATCCAGAGCCGGTGCTCTATCCACTGTGCCAGCTAGCTGCCCCTAATAAAAATAAATGTTAAAAATTGTTTTCACATATAATTGGGAAAATATTATTTAAAAAAAGAATATCCTGCTAGATATGTCAGAACAACAACGAGTATGACTAATTTTCCTACTAACGCATTTACCCTGGATAAATATAGATTACCACTGAAAAATTTTCCTAAAATCACTGACTGAAATTGTTAAGAGACCATTCGTATAAGATCAATTTAGATGATGATAACCTCTTCTACAGCAGAAAATATGCCATGACGCACTGATCCCTGCATTATGTGATATCTGTGGACAAGCTTTTATCACCCATCTGAAGGTCTCCTGCTGCATGCAACAGTATAGCTAACAAAAAGTCAATATAACACCAACTTAAAAATTTTTTTTTCTTCAGGAAAGAATATATAGGAAATAATAACTGGTGTTCTAACTGCCGTTCTAGGATGATTATGTCCAAGCTACTGAGGTCCTCTTACCGGGCCCATGGATCCCTGAGACCTTGCTTAGCCAACCTCTCCTGGACTCGCTGTAGTGGTGTTCCTTCTATCTTCCACTGTTTGTAATCAGGGAGTTCAATTTTTCCATGACCATGTCCATGCTCATGTCCATGTGCCATGCCTATAGAAAAATATTAAAAATAAGTAAGAAAGATACAGCCTATGATTTCTGGACATGGAGGTTTATCATAAGGAGGTAAGGCCTTTTTTGTTTGCTTTATCTGTAATCCCAATGCTTAGTACAGTGCCTGGCTCAGAGTAAAGGTTTAATAAATGCTTTCTCTCGCAATGATAGCTTACATCTTTAGAGCATTTTGTAAACCTTACTTTCCTCAAAGCAATAGTCCATTGAATAAAGTCTTAATAAATGTTTATTGAACTGCAACCCTGTAAGGTGGGTAGAACAAACGGTATTGCCCCAATTTGATCACATTTCTAGCTTTTTTTTTTGTTTTTAATGTCACTAGAAGGATGATTAAAAAGGGTTTAAGATTAGATAAAAATCTTTTATTGAAAGAGAAATTACAGGATTAACAGGTGTAACTCAGCATTTGTCACAGAACATATTGCAATTCAAAATGCAGGGCAGTATAGAAAAAATTGGGGTATAGATGGTCAATCTATTTAAAAAAACTTAATTTTTAAAAATATCAGTTGACGTATGGCACAATAGAAAGAGGATCTAATTTGAAATTAGAGGACCTAGGTTTGATTCTCAGATCTGATATTTATATCTTTATTACAATGAACAGACACACTGTCTCTGTGCCTCAGTTTCATCACTGCACTAGATCAGTAATGTCAACTCAAATAGAAAGTGGGACCACTAAACCATATATAAGGTTAGTTGTAGGCCACATATTGACTTAGAAAATAAAATGTTATTGTATTTTATTTGTTTTGCTAAATATGTCTCAATTAATTAATTAATGATTAATTAATGCGGTTCTGGTTCCCCGGTGGGCTGCAGGTGGCAATATCTGACACCTCTGGAATAAATGATCACAACGGTCCCTTTGAGTTTTGTTATGATCCTAGTCAAGAATACCATTTTTTTAGCCATTCATCTGATCTTATTTCCATGTTCATAAAGTTAGACACTGATTTAGAACTGAGAGGTACTTTTGAGATCTTCTAGTCTAACTCTTTTCATCTGCAAAAGAGGAACTAAGCACCTGAGCTCAGAACTGGAGCCCAAATCTTCTGGCTTTAAATCAAGTGCTCTTTCTACCTTCAAGATATCTGCTGATATGATTTAAATTAAAAACAAACAAATCTTATTATCTTTTATGTTTACATCACCTTTATTCTGAACGTATCATTCTTCTCACGCCTACCTTGTAAGCTATTCTTTATTTAAATTAAAAAGGCAATTTAGCAAAAGCAATCAACACATCAACCGAGTCAGGTAGTATTACATACAATGTCCTGCTCCATAGTTCTCCATTTCTACAAAGAGAACACTTTCTCATTCCTTCTTGGGGACCAAGCTTGGTCATTATGATTATACAACGTTCTACTTCGAGAGTGTTTTTGGTTGTTCTTGTTCTTGCCATTTCCACTGCTGTGGTTGTGTAATACTGTGTGATCTTGGTGTAATAATTTCCTGGTTCTGCTTACTGCATTCTGTACATGAATATGAATGTCCATAAGCTCCTAGAGGGCAAGGACGGTTTTTAACCTTTTTCTGTATCCCCATGGATTAGCACATCGCCTAGCACATAGCAATCACTTATAAATGACTGCTGATTGTTCAGTTTTAAAGCTAAATTGAGATGATTTTAATGGGAGTTCAAAACGTTAAGATCTAAATAAATCTTTTTAAAAATAACAGAAAATCTCTTTCCCTCTGCAAATATTTTCATCCATAAATTAAATAATCCCTTTATGTATTAAAGTGCTTTGGAGTAAAGTTGTATACATTTAAGTATCATCTGTAAATGACACTTTTTTGAGGCAAGGGATATAGCTTTATTTGGTAGGTGATATTGGGAAGTACAAATTCTTCATTTTTCTTTTAGATTATCTGGATTAATAAATGTGCCGGAAATTGAAAAGTTAAGGTAGCCTCACCATATAAGGGGGGGAAATGCAGTATTTTTCCACTTCAGTCTTGGCACTTCTCTTCAGTGTTGTATGAGGTAAACACTGTAAGCTAGCTGACTAGCCTCCATCAGGACCAATTAAAACGCCCTTCGTACACTGTCCTGCTTGCATTAGTGACTCAGTGAGATGCTATTTTCCCTCTTAACAACTGAAGAGCCTAGAAACCAGCAGCATGATGTGAGGAAACCAGGTCAAGCTGTCTAAGTTTGGTAAGCACACAAATAAGCCAGATAGCACCCTGCAAGATGAAGGCTGCTGATTTTATGGGAGGATTCTTCAAAAACAAAACAAAACATTATTTTGATATATCACTTTCCTACATTCCCAACCTCATCCCCCAATAATACTTTTCAATAAAAAAGTTAAGCAGAGCAGCCTAGAAAAGTGAGTGTGAGTGATAGTTTGTTACTTCCCACTTTGGTAGTTCATTATTTAAGAGAAAGGGTGGGAACTTGACGTTTAAGAATCCATCCAGCATCATTCACTGATATTACTACTTTTAAAATCCAACAAACATGAATGCCTACTACATCTAAGGAGCTGTGACAGTCCCTCTCCTTAAAGAGTATATGGGCTAGATAAGAGGCAAGTTATCAAAGACATATATGGCCATCTTTGCCTTCGACAAGTTTGTAGTGTAGTAGACAGAAGAGATGCCTACATAGACAACTATACAATACCACACAGTATCTTTGCCCTTCAATTTACTACAATAAGTAACAACAGCTTTATATATATATAGTGCTTTAAAGTTTGCAAAGCATTCTACACAATGTCACTTGATCTTCACAGAAATTCTGTATACTGTACTTTGCACATATCATTTAGTATCTTGGGACTTCAAATATCCTAATTCATAAAAAGCCCTTGGATTACATTATCTCTAAAGGCCTTTCCAAACCAAAAACCCTACACTAAAACTGATTTTGGATCTGAGGAGTTTAAAGTGCTGGTGAGATACCAGGTACGGAAGACCTGTAAGTATTTAAGAGACGTGAGTTTAGACCTGAGAAGATTGGTCAGGACTGGAGATTAAAGTTTTGGCAGTCATCTGCAGGAAGACAGTAGTTTAAGTCATGGTAATGAATGTCTACAAGGAAGGGATTGTAGAGAAAAAGGAGGGCCAAGGATAGAGCCTTATGGAATACCTATGTACTATGAAACAAGCCTAGAATGACAAATTAAAGCCAAATTATGGAGAGAGTAACACATTCGTAAACTACAAGTATCAGTTCTTTGCATAAGGAGTTGCACAGAGTATGAACTACTAGCAAAAGGCAGAGAAGCAATTCAGAAGTGTAGCTGAAGCTAAGGGCGGAGGAAGGACTATTGGAAAGTCAAATGCTCAATGAAAATGAGTAATTCAAAAAGGCTATTAGATTTGGCAAATAGAATACCAGTGCCTTGAGAGAGCAGTTTCAACAGAATAATGGGAGCCCACCCCTAACTTCCCCCACCCCTCAATTTGTCTAGAACAAAAGGTTGAAAAAAGCAGGTAGTGAGAAAGAGGAGTCATCAATTATAGACAACCTTTTAAAGAAAGTTATTAGCACAGATGGGCAAAACAGATATGGGACAGTAATTGTATAGGTTTAAAGGTCAAAAGAAGGTCTTCCTCCCTTCCTCCCTCCCTTCTTTATTATAAAGACTGAGTGATCTCAGCATGTTTCTAGACTTATGGGAAGGAGACTGTTGAAAAAAAAAGTTGAAGATATATAAGGGGAGATGACTGCTGGATTAAGGTCATAAAACAGGCAATAAGGATTTGGATACAGTCAGTCTGTGCTAGGCACTAGGAATACAAAAGAGAGAAAAAAGGCAGTCCCGGCCCTCCCCGAGCTTACAATCTTACAGAGTACAAGTAAAGGAATTTAGGCCAGGCAAGGAACAAGCACTTTTTGAGCCTATAAGCCAGGATATTAACTCATCTGATTCACTTTAGTGAGAAGCGGGGCATATCTTTGGTGACCAGATGTAAGAACAGAGCAGACAACCACTGAGGGCTCTGAAGACTGAGAAGAGGAGGAGAGGGGTGCTGGTAATGGATTCACTTCGGATGGCCTCAATCTTCTCGGTGCACCAAGTGGTTGGGCCATCTGCTCTCTAAGTGTTAGGGATGGGGGGTGGAGGTGGGGATCGGTGTCATTGGGGGCAAGATAAAATCGAATGGGATCGATAAAGCTACAGGCCCTGCACCCTGACCTACTGTAGCTGAGATTGTTGGTACTGTAGCAGGGCCCTCACATTCGTACAAGTTAGGAGAAGACACTACGGGGATAGCGAAGGTCAGAGTGACCCAACGGCTTCAAGGGTGGGGGAGCGAGCTCCCGGACTTGGAGTCTGCATCCAAGAGATCGATCATTCCAACAGGCGGAGAAGAGGAGGAAGTGTCTCCCGAAGCGGGGGCGGGCCTCGTCCGAGCACCAAGGAGAGAAACGCGAGGTCAAGGGTACCCTCCTTCGAGCCACCGACGTGACCCCCCTCCCACCAAGGCGGCAGACGCGTCCCACCTTCCTGTCCCCAGACCCGGCGATCCCGCATCTTCTCTCTCCCCTCCCCCTCCCTCCTCCCGGAGTTACCTGACAGGAATCCTGACCTCCCCGGGACACTGGAATCTCTATACCGGCCCCCCCCCACCCCGTCCCCCAAGCCAGAGCCAAGAGGAAGCGGAAGTCGGCCGGACGGAACTACCTTGGGGCGGAGGGGGGACCCGAGGCTTGCTGAAGCGTTCCAAGAGCAGTGGGGCGATGGGGAAGGCAGGACGCAGAAGATGAAAGAGTTGTGTGGGCGGGGAAGAGGCCCTAAGTTGCCTGTCTCACAGCTGAACCATTTTCGTTCTGGCTGCTTAAGAGAAAGCGACTAAAGCCGAGGGTCTTGCGCGGAGGGGAACGGGAATCTAGGTTGCGGAACCCTTTGGGCGATGCACGCAGCTGAAGGCGGGGTAGGGGGCGGGAAATGTGGAAAAAGCTCGGCGGCCAATGAGCGTGCTCGTTGTTGAGGGCGTGGAGCCGCCCAATGGGAGGGCGGGTTGTTGTGTTGCAGTTGGCCGGCTGCTGTGAGAGGCAGAGGCGGCGGCGGCGGCGGCTCCTGGAGCAGGAAGGGGACGGTGGCGGTGACAGGTAGGCGCCTGCTGAGCGGCCGAGGAACTCGACGCGGCCGACGCGAATGGGTGGTTCCCTCCTCGGCCGAGTGAAAGAGAGCGCTCCGCGCTGGAGGGACTGGACCGAGAGAGAGGGTCGGGGAGCCCGAAGGGTCGTCAGTCAGTCAGCTGCTTCCGAGCGTCTGGCTGCCCAGGTAAAAGCCTGGAGGGTCGTGAGGAGGCGGTGGCAGCGGCGGCTGCGGAGGACCCTGGCGGGGGCGGCGCGGGGGACCCCAGGGCTGGGGTTCGAGGTGGGGCCTGCGGGGCCGGGAGTAAAGAAGGTGTAGCTTGGGGTGGAAGGAATTCCTCGGCTTTGCTGGCACCGAGTGAAAAGAGCCTTTTTGCTGAGGTGATGGGATGGAGGTGGAGGGTAGGTGGGATGCGGGGAAGAAAAGGGACAGTGGTCCAGACCAGGCAGCCGGATCCCCGGAGCCCTTTGTGGGGGCACGTTATGTAACCCTGGGTTCTTTCACACTCCCAGACAGCGATACAGACACACGGTTCACCTTTCTCCTGGATGGAGGGGTTGATGTGTCAGGCTTCTGTCTTGGCCCGGGTACTCTGGGTACAGTTTAGGGGGCGGACTGTCTGTCGGGTGACAGTCGTGAGACCAGAGAAGTCACGGAGAGCTGATGCTAGATGTGTGTTTAAGGCTCGGGGTTAAGAGGTTTGTTATGGAGCAGGTTTTAAAGTTTCGTGGCTTGTGAGTTTATTTTTGCCTTAATTCTCAAGGCTGATAGCACCGTTTTGAATGTTTTTCTTCCTTCAGGAAAGACGAGACGCTTGAGCTTTGGGTATCAACATTAGGAGGTAGGTATAAATTGAGAGCTTGCTTTGGGAGAAGGTGTAATGAATGGGAAACTCGGTATTGCATCGTTATTACCTGAGAATAGGAACCTTGGGGAATGTTCTGCAAAGAAAATGACCTGAAATTACAAACATAACTGCCAGTACTATTTGCTGTGGCTTTTGAAAAGACTTATTTACTTGTTAAGAGCACATTCTTGAAAATGTTTTCGTAGCTGTAACTACGTGTAAATCTTCTGTGTTTAAGTTGTTTATAATTCTCTTGTTAGAAAGATAACAGTTGACTGCAAATGCCTGAAACATGGCAGTTTGGCATGTGAGATGAAATAAATAGCGACAAAATTGCAGGTACTTCCTTAGTATTCATTATGGAAGAACAAATTCTGACTGGATTTAAAAGCCTGGCTTGTAAAACATAGGAAAAACAATTTCGAGAGAGAATTATTTAAATGTTAAAGACAAAATTCTTGATTTCATGTATTTTTAAACAAGTAAGGACAAAAGTAGTTTTTAGCAAGTATGTTATTTTCTTAAACTTACCCTCAGGTATTATAATATTCTGGTACCTAGTTCAGAACTACTTTCTTCCTTCTTCCGCGTAATTCACCATTATAATCTCACACCTAATTTGAATTTCAGATAAGTAAAAAAGATGATTTTTTGAGAATCAATTAACAAGTATTCATGTCCTAGGCACTATGCAAACAGAGTAATTTTATTTGAAATATTTTTGTGTGCCTTTGACCAGCCTTGGCTGCCTTCATATAGCCTGTCACCAATCCTTCCTTTTAGTAAAATCCTTGTAATCTTAAATTTTATTTACAAATGTACTGAAATGCCTGAAAGTAATTTTTGCTTTTATGCTTGTGTTGTTTTTTCCCTGTTATGTAACCAGAATACCAGACTATTTGGAGAGCTAATGACTAATTCTGAATGGCCAGCAGATGTCATTGCAGAATATAATTGGGTTGAATATTATATGGAAATGAACTCCAGTACCTTGAGGAATATAAACCAAGTTAGTGATTACTTAGAAGTATGTATAAGAATATTAGTTATTGATATTGAGCAGTCATTAAGATTTTAGTATTTTTCTTGCTTATGTTCAGTTCAAGCAGCATGTATGAAATGCCTGCTATGTGTACTGTGCTAGGGTCTGAGGATACAAACATGAAAAATGGTATAATTCTTGCCTTCTAGGAGTTTTATAATTTACTATTAAAGTATGATATGTGATGGGGAAGGGAGTAAGCATTTATATAACACCTAATGTGCTAAATATTATCTCATTTGAACTTCACAGCAACCTTTAAGGTAGGTGCTGTTATTTTCCTCATTTTACAGTTAAGGAAATGAAGGCAAACAGAACTTAAGTGATGTGTCTCTCAGGGTCACATTAGTGAGTGTCTGAGGTCGAATTTGAACTTGTCCTCCTGATTCTGGGTACAGTGCCACCTAGCAGCCTAAATGCCTAAAGCACAGGAACAATAAAATAGAAGTGAGAGATTGGTTGATGGGGGAATTATTTCTGGCTGGAGATCAGAGAAGGCTTCCTTAGAGGAGGTTAGCAACTGAATAGGAGCATGGAGAATATTTCTATAAGTGGAGATGGGGGGGGAGCTCTTCGAGATATGGTTGGAGGGTCTTTGTGAAAAGTTAGTACAAGAACTAGAAAGTATGAAAAGTAGTCTAGTTTGGCTTGAGAACTTGTATAAGTGGGGAGTTCTCTGAAAAAAAAAAAGAAAAGGTTGGAATAAGAGGTTAAAACCATATTATGAAGATGGAGTGTCAGATCTTTAGGAAAATTACTCTAGCAGCAATATAAAGAATAAATTAAAGAGGGAACAGGCCAGAAGGGACTAGTCTAGTTGAGAGGTAATAAGGTTCTTGGTAAAAGAGGAGATAGGTGCCAGAAATACTGCACAGACAAAATTGACAGAATTTAGCAACTGTTTTGGGGAGCTTAATAGGGGAAAGAATCAAAGATGAGTTTTCAGATTTTGAGTCTGGTGCCTGGAATGATCTAACAGGAATAGAGATGTTTTGTAGGGGAGGAGATATAGGAAGAAAAAAGATGTTAATTTTGGACATGCTGAGTTTGAGGTACCATTAGGAATATAAAATGGATCTAAAATGGACCTGGAAATTGTTTTTAAATACCTAATTTATAAGCTTATTAATATTACGGAAATTTTACCTCTTTTAATATGAAATTTTGATATTTGCAATTTAGAAGTATAAGTTCTAAAATAATATTCTGCTTGACTTAATAAGTATTTTTTTAATTGAAAAATACCAAGAAATTTAATACTGAAATGAAGTATATGCATAATACCATTAAGAGGGTGACTAACAATAAATGTAGGCATTAAGTTATATCTTTCCTTCCTGAACAGATGTACTTTTTAAATCTTGGTTTATGGTTTCCCAATTTTTCTTTTGTATCTAAAAAAGTCTTCTCTTCACCTTTCTTCTGGCTAGTATTCTGTGTACTTCCAGAATGTTGTTCTACCTATTTATCTTGTGCAGATTAATCCTTCTAGAGGGGATCGGCCCAAAAGGTTAAAAAGTAGAGCTCTTGTTGAGCCCTATAACTTACTTTCTGTATAGAAAGATTTGTTGAGTTCAAATCACTATTGCTTTATTCACTGTACTAGTTACTGATATTATTGAACTGTCTGATCTTTTTGAAGACCTAGCTGTTTAAAGGAGACCAAGAACCGTGACATTTTGGCCATACATAAAAGGCTTGCCAGTTTCACAGACATTTTCATCCAGTTTTAACATTTAAATTACTAAAAATTTACCAGATTTTCACTTCCTGTCATAGCTGTGATGCATCTTTTAGTGGTGAGCTGAAATAGCCAGAAGAGTATTACCACTTCAATTTTAATTTCCCTTGTCCATCGTTACTTCTAGGCCTAGGTAATTTCTTTTTAGGATATAGGCCTATACAGAATTGCACTGATATTAGTGACTGAAAGATGTTTGATTTCAGTTTGGAAGGAACTCCTACCACCAATAATAGCATGACAGCAGTTTGCTACTTCTCTATAACTTAGTAGATAAGACCTGGAGATTTGCTCTAAGGACAGAGAGGTTAAATGACTTGCCCACAGTTATACAGATATTTATCAGTATGTATTATTGTCTATGCTGTCTCTTAACTTGAATTTCTAGAGTTACACTGATAAGATTTGGAGAAAATTTTCTTGGTCAAAGGTCTTATACATTTCACTTTTTCGTAAGATGTGTCTTAGTTGTAAACTTTGTTCTTTATCCAAAAGGTCCCAAAACTTGGACCCAGAAAACATTTTTTTCCTTCTTAAGCTCATTCTTTTGAGCATGACATGGATTTAGTGGGGAAATTAATCTTTCTTTTTCTTTACATACAGAAAAAAAGTTTGGCCCAATACAGCACTCATGTTAAAATACTAAAAAAAAAAGCACAGAAATAAATGTACCTTTCATTAAAAAGGTAAACGATATATCTTTCTTAAGAGCTTTTGTGACAGAGAAACTTTTTCCAATAAGATCAGGGTTAGGGGCAGCTAGATGGCGCAGTAGACAGAGCTCTGGCCTTGGAGTCAGGAGGATCTGAGTTCAAATGTGGTCTCAGATACATGACACTTACTAGCTGTGTGATTCTGGGCAAGTCACTTAACCCCAATTGCCTCACAAAAAAGAAAAAGATCAGGGGTAAAACAAAACACCCATTTTCTTTACTATTGGTTGGTGTAGTTCTAGAAGATATATAGCAATAAGAAAAAGCAAGAAAATAAATAAATGAATGAAACTACATAGGCAAGTTAACTAAAACTACATAGGTAAAGAGGCAAAATTATTTGTTTATAATAGTTTACTTAAAGAACCCCAGAGATTCAACAACAACAAAAATAATAAAAATTAGTCTTCCTTTCTTGATGTTTTAGAATTTCCTTGGGTACTTTATTGCCATACCTAAACAATAAATAGCCTTGAAGTAGGGGGAGGGAAAGGAAGGAGTCCTAGGGAGACAGGAACAACTGAGAGTTAGTTGAATACTATTCTGAGAGCAGTGAATTTGTTATTTTCAGCATTATAGTTTCTAGATTTGAAATATAAGTATCTTAAAGGTCCGCTCAAACTATAGTAACAATTTGATATTGATTACCAAAGTATGGTTTCTAAAACAAATTATTTATTATCTTAAAATGCACTGGACACAGAAAATATAACCAATTTACCCAAAAGTGAACCTTTTCCTCCTTATCTTGGACATCTTTGAATACTTGATTTCTGGTTCTCTTGAATAATGATGTATTCCTTTGTCAATAGTTTTCCCTGTATCAGACTCTGCAAGCTAATAGTACTATTAAAAAAATTTTTTTGAGACAAGAATTAGTTCAGTTGATTAGGTAATGGGGAGAATACAAGCATTAACATGGACAGTTTCAGATTTAGTTATCTGGATTTTTTTTTTCTGTTTAGGCACTTTCATAGTTTCTTCACTTTTATCCTTAGATGTTATATTTATTAATATAGTCAGGGAAATAATAATAATACATATCGGGCAATATAACATTGTGGTTGGGATTTTTGGTTGTCTTTTTTTTAGTCCAGTGTATGATTTTCTTTCTTAAGTAGATATCTGAAGTTTCTTTGCTTTGGGTTTTTTATTTAATAATTTTTATCTGTAAATTGAACACCATTTGTGTGGACAGCACACGGTGATTCTTGTCTTTGATGAATTTACAGTCTAGTTGAAATGATTAGACATCTATGGCAACTGTTGATATGTGTATAAAAATGTGTAAATGAACTATAAGCCCTACAGAAAATAAAAGAAACCATTATCAAAGAGGTAGTTAAAGAAGAAAATGTAAGATTTGGTTTTATGGAGAGAGGCTGTTACAAGTGGCAGAAAGAACTAATATGAGAGTAAGGATGGACTATGTAGATGATATAAAGGAGATTAGTGTAAGTAGAATATAGGACCCAAGTTAGAGCAATGAACTAAGAAA